TTTTCCTACGAATCCTTAAATTTCATGTTTTAACTGAAAAAACTTTTTGTGTAAAGAAGTGAATTGATTTTTAAAATGGCGTTTTCAAATGAACGAAAGTTTTCTGAAAAAAATTTTTCACCTTTCATCGATCATAATTTTTAAATTATTTGTATTAGTTTCGATAAGCGAATTTCAAAATGGCGATAATCATTTGAAAATTGATAAATTTCATTATATATGATCAATTTAGGAGTGCGAGCAATGGTTGATCATAGATTCGATTCACACCCTTCAAATTGAAACCTTTCATTAAAAATGATACCCAAATGGGGCTTAAGACCGGAGCTTATGTAGCCAAAACTATTCTTCTGGACAGAGGCTTACAGCCACTAGAAGCAGCCAATGTGGACATTGCATGCAGAATGAGAAAAATGTGGTATAAATAATAACTCAAGATATAATAGTACCGCCTTTTTTATATGATTTATCCACTGATAAAGATTGATAACGTTAACATGCTAAAACAAAAGTCGTTTCATGAAAATAGTTTCTAACTGGAAACTCATCTGAAAACAGGCAACATAAAGTGGTCTTTTAAAAATTTTGTAGAACACGATTCTTAAAAAAACTGAAAATTGAAAAAATTGTTGTATGTGACTGATTGATCAACAGCATTTGGTTTCAAGTTATCCTCAACCGCAATGGATATGCTTTGTTCTATATTTCTCAATTTTGCCATTTCCATGAGAAATTTGGAAAATTTTCGTTAATTATTTTATTCCCAATCGATTTTCTGAGTACCAAATATATATATACATATAAAATTAAATTTGTCTGATAAATATAATTAATCTTGTCAGACTAGTTTCACTGGTTGCTAGCATCGCGAGAAATTTTGTTAATATTGATGAATACAGGAAATGAACTGGCGTCAAAAATTTTGATTTATTACTTATTAATTCATTAAAATTATTTATTTATTTATTTATTTATTAGTAAAGGCATTCGCTCGTATATTTCGATTCATTTTAACGAAGCTTTTGGGTAAAAATTTCACCCAATTTTTGAAATCAATTTATTACTTAAATTCAATATTTATGCTTATTCGATTTATTTATTCATAAGAAACTTTCAATTTATAATGAACATCACGATGAAATGAAAAAAAAGCAATGCTGCAACGATCATTAAGCAGATCCATTCCCCGTACCTTGATGGAGTAAACCTGCTATTAAAAGTGAAATCGTTCTTTTAAAGCTACTGCTTGCTAGTTTTCCAAGCTTCTCGATTCGATGCCATACCTCAAATAACTGAATCCACCACTTTTTCCACCGTCTAAACCCACACAAAACGAACATATATTATCCATCATAATATTTCTTTTTCTTTCTGATATTTGTAGCATAAAAATTTATGTCGCCGAAAGGCGAATATATAAGCCATCATAAATCAAACACAGCATTCGAACTAGCAATTCAAACCAACAGTTCAATACAACCGTTTAATCCAATAATTCAACTGAACAATTTAAACGAATTGTTCAAATCAAAAAGATCCGCGAGGCAATTTCCCAACAAGAAAAAGGCATATTGACCACAAAAAGCAGCTTCTCCATTCTCTGTTCAGTTACAATCAGTATTAAAAAAGTGTAAAATTAACGAAAATTTGATTTTTATTTAAGGCGAGTAACTAACGATGGTTTTATCGTTTTTTCATCATTCGGGATATTTGCCCGTGAATTCGAAATTAGAACGCATAATCACTTGGAAAATTCAAATAAATGGTGCCTTTTTCCAGAAAAAAAACAGAGAAGAAATATTTCGATGGATTTCCTTCTTTTATAAATTTCAAACTGTACTTTTTAATAAATGCAAAAATATGAGCGACATTATAAGTGATATGCACTCATTTATGCTCGTTCGGCTGGTTAGAGATTTTTTTCGCCAGGCAGTCCATTTGGCGATTGAAGTACAGTTGAGCCGTCAGAATAACGGGGATTTTCAATGAGATTTACTTCTATCGGATGCAATTATTGTTTTAAAAAAGGAAATCGTTATTAACAAAAGGCATCAGAAATAACTACAAAATTTAAAATATGAGTGCAAGTTTAAATATTTTTCCTTTTTTTATTGAATATTCCTGAAATTATTGAATTTTTGCAATCAGTGGATTTCAAAAGATGCACGACTGGTCCATTTCATTTAATTTGAGAGACGCGGATTTTTAAGGTCATCGAAAGGCTATCTATCGAATGAAACTGCAGATCAGCAGTCATATGAACTGATGGACCTTCCACACTCAAATATCGTTACGACCAGCTCTAAACTTATATCATTTACTGAAAAGAATCACCATTGAGAATCGCCTTAAAACCATCGACTGCTCGTTATTAACTGAAGAGGGGGTGTGGCAAAAGAGGCGGAGCTTATGAGGTCGTTGCGCGTAAGACACAAGTACGTCAATTGTGCGCCTCATATATGTTAGGGTTTGTGGCTTGAAGCGAGTTCGTTCGTTCTTGGCTTGATTGGTTCGAGTCGAGCGATTATGGTTGTTATGAGCGATATTCGAGTTCCCGATGTTCCGCTTGCATTTATTGCAGATTGTGACGATTTGGATTCTTATAAATTTGTAAATTCGTCAGTTGAAAATCGACTTGATATGTAAGTTTTTAATTAATATTTTTCATTTTTTTTTAAATTTAAAAAAACCCTAAATTAATGAAAATTAACAAAAAGAAAAGTGGAAATGTATTATTAGTAATGTATTTTTAGTGATCCGCGAAAGAAATTTTAAAAAATTTGAAAAATATAATTTAGCAAAATTAAATAATTTAATAATTTAAATTCATACCACTTGTTTACGAAATGGGCAGCTGTTTTTTTCGATGAAAAACAAAAAATAAATAAATAAGTGCAAATTTCGGTTCATATAATGCAATTTTATATATATTCGTTCAATTTTTATAGTGAAATCTGTTTTTGTAATTTTTTTATTTTATACTTCTTTTTATAATCTAATAAGTTTGTTTTTTTATAATTTTATATCATAAATTTTTTAAAACAGTTTTTTAAGTTTTCATTAAATATTTTTAAAAGGTTGTTAAAATAATTTGGTTTAAAAGCAATAATTTAAAAATTAATAATAAAACAGTATAAATTTTTAACGGGTGGTTTTTTTAAAGGATTTAATTTTTATTAAATTTTGATGTGACTCCGAACGAATGGAAGTTATTTAATTAATTCATGAATAATTGACAATAATAGTAATTATAATGAATGATATTAACAATAACTATGATAGCAACGGTAATGAATAATGATATCATTAATAAGTAATAATAACAATAATATTAATAATAATGAGTTATGATGAGAAAAAACAGTAATTAATGAACGTAACCAAATGCATCAAATTTTCAGTTTCTTGCGCTTGTCTTCGAGAAATTTAATGTTTAGTTTATAAATATTAAAAAATAAATATTACTATGTTTATAAATATCTTATTTATCTAAGTTAATTTATCAGTTAACCAGTATAAGTTAATGGCAAAGTCTGCTTCATTTCACCTTAAAATATTGCTTTATGTTTTACTCAAGTATTACTTATCTGAGTGGATTAAAGGCTCGGAATTTGATTTTGATGGATGATTTTGATAAATTAAATAATTAAAATAATTAACTAATTAATTGATAAATTAACTAAAATATATCTTTGTTAACGACTTTTTGACGTCAAATTTTTTTTAAATCGCATTCGTGCATACATAAATATTTTATGTGTCTGCGCTCAAATCAATATTGAATCGATTTTTTTGCAGAGTTTTTCGCAGTATATTTGCCATAGAAGACGAGATTCGCGACTTTGACAATAAAAAGATTTGTTAATAAATTAGTCGACTTTTATAAATTAATTTTTCCACAAAATGCAATTTTCTCTGCTGAATTTATTGGATTTGCTTTTTTAAAGAAATTGCACCTTTTTCACTTTTTGTCTGGAATCAAATGGCCTGGCATATTGTTTTTGAAGTAAAATTGTATATAATTAGCGAAAATTATTGATCAATGTTTGTGGACGCGCTGCCATTTATGCTCGATGGAAGGATGAATGAATGAATGTGTATCGCTTAGCAATTATTGCGAATGTGAAGAAAAATGTCTCGAAAAATTGGAAAATTTTCTTATTCAGTTAAATATTGACTTAGAATATGAAAGCAGCAGAAATGGATATGAACATGCAGAAATGGAAATCATAGAAATTAAAAACAAAAGAGATATTTTTTATTCAATCGTCCTTTCCACATCCAAAAGAAAGAATCCAGAAGAGCTAAGCAATCTTTTGTCTCCATTTTTCTTATCACACCATCATCGGAAATGCTTCTCAGTGTCCCGCAGAAATTTCCATTGTTCCTTTTCCTGTGTCCCTGAGAATGCTTCTCCTATATACACCACCAGCATAAGTTGGTAGCATTCGATATTATATGCGTAAACATAGTATAGCACATATGATTTGGAAACGTGTGTTGTTATAAATAAGCAACATTACTCGGGCGAAGTAGATATATTTGCACAATGTGCACTTTTCAGTCAGAAACGCGCACCTAGAATTCGTGGAACGCGGGAAATCGTCGTTGAATCACCATGCCTTCGAATCGACTGAGCATTCGCTTGAGGGTTTATCGTATTCTGGCTTATATTGGTTTAATATGCAGACGTTGCATGTGCTTACTCGAGCTGAATCTTCATTTGTCCCTTGACAACACCTGTTATACAATCGTACAATGGGTAGAGTTAAACTAATGAAATTTAATTAATTCACTGGCAAACTGTGAAAGTGAAGTTAGTAGTTAATTAATTTTCTCGTTTGAAATGTTTTTTTGTCGAAATCCGTTAAATTCGAAGGGTGGTCATTTGATATGGGCGAGGAATAAGTTGTTTGTAGGAAGGAATTAGATGAGAGAGAAATTTATTCTTCACGAGAAAACTAATTACTGTCGAAAAGAAAGAAATAAATAGATATCGCATGGCAAAGAGGGATCTTCGAAAGCAAGAAGCGAATCTCATATGGGGACCATTTTTCCACTCACCAGAGGTGATTTTTTTGAGTAAAACTCGCTGAATGACGGTGGCAGATGTTGTTTAAAATATTTTTTACAATGTTGAACATTTTGCACTTTGTATTCGAATATTCGAAACAGCTGTTTCTCATCTTAAATTACTCCTACTTTATGGCATTTTTTTGAAGTGAAGACACTGAAATAAATAGAAAGGAATTTATTTTAATGTTGGGAAAATTGTTAATTCTTATTTATTTGGTGGTATTTGTAAGTGCGTTTTTCAAACAGCACTCATCCGATTTGGCTGACTCCATTGACTATTAGGATGAGATCCATTTAGCTGCATTCTTAGCTCCAACCGGATTTCACTTTCAAGTGCTTTTATCACAGGGTAATGATAGATTTCATGGCGCTAGAATTCAATAAAAAAGTATACCATACCACCCCACCCGGCAAGGTTAAATATCCGTCTAGCGAAAAACTTTATCTAATTAATTCAGATAGTGCAGTTTGTATAAATTTTATGACTAGTGAGTTAATTTTTTCAGGGCGAATGATGCCGAAAATAATTCTGATGGTACTTTTGAAGTGGAGGGTCTATCAGAAAGTTTGGAAGATCTTGTTGGAACGTTTGATCAACGAGTTTCTCAATGTTTTAAAGATATGGGTGAAGACACGGAAGATTTAGCACCTGTTCAAATTAGGACGCAAGATGAGATTATGTCCGAAAGCCAGTTAGTAATTTAACGTTTTTTCTGTATAATTGTGGTACTTTCATTTCAAAGATTAGAGATGTTAATCATCATTTGTAACATGATCTAGCTTTGATTTGGTTTGAAAATTTGACCTGTTTTTGTTTATTGGATTAATCGTGGAATTGTCGGATTTCGGATGAATTTGATTATTCTTTCAGAATTTGGTGGACAATTACTGGGAATTTCGGTACAATGCCACCACTGGATTTTTCAAAAACGCAAACAAGGGAACTGCAATTGCCAGCTTTGAACCTTCAACCAAGAAAAGTTGAAAAATGATTTTTATTAATTCGGCCTAATTTAGCCAAATTTTGTATATATTTTACGGTCGAGATTTAGTAATTTTTTCTTGTCTAGGAAGTCCTTTCTTTAAAAAATCATTTGGTAATCTGTAATAATATTTTGTTTCTATTTTTATCTTCTGTGAAAACAAAGTATTTTCAGGATGGAAGTGATCCTGGAATAGATGTATCCGATGATGAGGAATTAAGAGAAGTACTGGATATGCATCAATTAGTCTATCAGCAAGGCCCACCATCAGATTCACCACCGCAAACAGCTGAACAAGTCATCGAGGAAATTGATCAGATGTTGCAGGTTTGCTTTAATTGTAAAGTGTGCTTTATTAATGCCACTATTGTTCTACATTGGGCATTGATTTTGAATCTTATGTTCAGAAAAGAGGATTAAAAGCAGGTTTATTGACCTCCAATTTGAATTCAAAAATGGAGAATACGAATGAAATCTGAGGAATTATAATAAAAAATTTTCTATGCAGAGATGTTAATTTATTGGGATGTTTTCCATTTTATTTTTATTTGATTTATCGTTTAATTTTTTTTAAAGTCTTGCGATTTTTCTGGATCCGTAATGACAGATCGAACGATGGAATCTATCGATAGTATGTATTCATCTATGCGATCACCATTACATTCATCCCATTCAGAAATGGATGCTAAATTCAAACAAGCTGTATCGATAACTGCTTGTCCTGAATGTGAGTTTTACCATTTTCATTAAAAATTGCTTTTGAACAACTCTAAGTCTGTTTCATGGAAATTACTTAACATAATCTTTAATGAACGATTTTTCCGGAAAATAATTCAGTATGAGTTTCGTTAGGAGGCAATGTTTTTCAATTATTTGTTCTTTTATTTTTATAATTTTACGAGTTCGCTGGATTTCTTTCTTATTAACCTATGGATTTATTTGGTTTTGTTTTTGTACTTACAGGGCTCGATGGTGAGTTTGCCTATGTGTATACATAAATTTGCTTTTACTGATTTAATTATTGTTCGTCTTGGTCTACTCTTTTCAATAGTTTTGCCATGTTTTTTTGGCATGTTTTCATTTTTTCACTTTATTTTCGTTAGCCTTTATTTTTATTCACTTCTTTTCTTTTTTTTTTTGATTTTTTGCATTTACAGATTTAAAATCGTTAACATGCAGTAAACTAATTGCTTTAAATGCTGAGATGGAACAACTAATACAGGTTTTAATTTCTTTATAAAACGAAATAAATTGATGAGTATTTTGAATATTTATGAGCCTCAGCAAATTGATAAGTTAGTATTTATATTTTATTTTGCATTATTTTATATTTTATATCTTTTATATTCAATAGTTCTTTCTTTAATTTATTCGTGGAAATATTTTTAGGTTTATAATGAAAGTCTAGTGGAGCAGCTGGCTCATAGGGATGAACTGGAATATGAAAAAGAGATGAAGAATACTTTCATATCTTTGCTTCTTTCTATTCAAAACAGACGGCGACAATTTAATAACGATCGAAAACGGAAAGCACTTCGATTTGATAACTCCCAATTACCACAGGTATTTCTTGGTTTATGCTGTTTTAATTTTATTAAATGATATGAGATTTATGAAAATTGGCTTATCAATGAACTCGGGATTCAGATAAAAAATGACCAAATTCGGATTTTTACGGTTTAATTTGGGCTCTTTCAATTAAGCAGGAACCACTTTGGTTATTGCTTTGTTTGCTCGAGCGCCAGAGTTCCTGCCTCAGAAAGGTAGAAAACGGTGCCGGCGACTCACCCTATATCACTGACTCCCTTGTGTAAAAACCTCACATATTAATAACCCGTGGAGCGAACCTAGTTAGGAACGGTGAGCGTTAACCACTTAATTAAGTTGGGACCTCTGATGAAATATGATGAAGAAATGTGAGTAAACATTTTTAATTTTTCTCTTTTTTCTCCAAATATTTTCACAAATATTTTCAAAAAAAAGCTAATCCTATTATGATAATCATTTGCTATTTATTTGATTCATTTAAAAGGAAATATTTTTATAGAATAAATATTTTTAGTATATCACAGCCAGCATACCATACGATGAATCGCAGCTTCATATTGATACCGTAACTTTACAAGCGCTCATAAAATGTTTGTTTTTGCGATTTTGTTGGTCTTGATCCATTGTTGTTTCCTCTTTTTCCTCTTTTAAATTGGCAGCATTACATCGTTACATTGGCTGTGCTACTAGGCTAAAGCGTTCCCAAGTTTGCTCAAATCTTTCAGGAAAAAAACTAACGGCAGATTGGAAAAAGTTTTTTGTAAAAAAAACAGAAAATGCTTAAACATTTGAATATATTTCTTAGATGTTGAAATTGTATTCTTTAGGTAGATATATTGTTTTTATAGTAAAAAATATTTTAATTTTTAGTGCTTAAAGCGATTGATGATGATAATCCCGCGGTTCCAAATATGCTCACTGACTATATTTTAACCGGTATGCTACACATATATTTTTTAAAATTTAAATAATCGCTTATCATTTTATGCTGTGAAGGCAAAGTTATTTGCTGATCTGTAAAATTTATGCAATTGTTATCTTAGGTTATTCATGTTCAAATTCAAGTTTAAAAAAGTGCCACACTGGTTGGAACCAATTTTTAAAAATTTATAGATACTTGTTTGGCATAAGTTTTTCTTGGAACGAGTCTTCGTGATCAAAAAATAATGTCTTAAAGTTAATTTAATTTATTCAAACTGACTACAATTGACTACAATTATTTGAAATAAAATTAAATTACCTCAATCTTACAAAATTGCAGTGCTTTGTCCTTCATCATCCTCCACAGTTATGGCTGGCCTAATGAATTAGCAGCTTCTGACTGGTTGCTGATGAATGGTTGTTTAATAAGTTCCACTGTTTTCTGGCTTGCCTCTAACTCAGTTTTTCTTCAAGCGAAAGATTTCGTAAATTTTTTATGCCATCCTTTTTTTGCTTCACAAGGTTTTATTACGAAATCTCGTCGTATGTGCCAGTTGATTGATCCCAATTATTTCGACTTAAAACTTTTTCCCACAGTTATTTTCAATGTTTATATTATTATTTGGAATTAATACAAGGGCTGCTAGTTTGGATTAAAACTGATTGCGAAAACCAGTTCTTTTTCATGATTGACGGTAAATAACTGGTGCCACAACAATTGCAATAATTTCATTCCTTGATTTTATATCGAAAGTAACAACTTTCTTGTTTTCTCGAATTCATTGGGAAAAATATTTACTTCCCTTAAGATAGACCACCATTAGTCCATATTAAATTTTATTTATATGAATTTGCAGATAATTTTGCGTAACTGAAAATAGAATATGGTCCAACAACTTACCTCAGTTCTTTAATTCATTTAACTTATCGAGAGATTCTGATATTAGTTGTAATGTTTATTAGATTTTCAAAGCTTTTACATAAAAGTGGTTGATGCATCAGCTAGGTCGATTTAAATGGATAAAAAGTTGCTGGTTTTATTCAGCCTTGATGCGCTTAGTTCTTTTCAAATTTTTTGTTTTATAAGACTAATTATATGCGAGTATAAAAAAAATATTTTATATGTTTCGATGTTTAGATTTCTTGCTTTTTTTCATATATTTCAATTCAGTTTTGATTGTTTTAAAAATTTCGCTATTTTGCTTTGAATTATGTTTGTTTATGCGTTAATTACTCAATACTTTGATCTCTGATAAAAAAATCAAAAACAATCATCTTTTTAAAATATCTTTCCAATTAACAGTTGAAGCACAATTTTTATCCAAGTATATGCTCTTATGCTCTTAATATATTTTGAGAAAATCATATTGGACGAAGAACAAATAATTCCTATTGAGCTTTAACGATGTATTCTGAGAAACTTTCTTCTGTCTCCAAACAGTCAAACTGGCATTCATCTGAGATGATTTTCACCTAGAAGTTGTGGCTTTCACAGATTCTTATTATTTTAAACATAGCTTCTTCTGCTACATTTTGATATTATAGATTGTATTTATAATATACAGCGGTAAATATGAAAAATCCTCAAATCCTTGTATGCAGAATGAGATCAACCAAATATATTTACTGTAATACTTAATAAAATTTTTAAAAGAATCTATGTTGTCCTTCTGAAGTGGAAAAGAAGTCTTTCGCTTGTAATGGATTTTAGAGATAAATGTTTTCTTGGCCTTTTCGGGAAGCAGCCAATATTTTCTCCGACTGGTGATCGTGCATCGACCCAAACAGAAAAAGGTACAGAATCAGGCGATATAACTTCTGAACTGCTAAAATTTAGCAATTTTAAAATCGAAAACTTTGTATTTTCGGCCACAATGATCAGGGACCAATCTACATTAACCTATTATTTTTATTAAATGTTTTTATAAGAATAGGGATGCAACAGGGCCAAAATGAGGGATGGATGCCAAACGTTCATAATGCCACGTAATTGAAGAGATGTTCCATCGATTACGCTGACAATAATTAACGTCAAGGGGACAATAATCCAAAATATACTTTTCTTGAAGAAGCTTTATACCATTCCAAGCAATCATTTCAGCATTATCACAACAAAGATGAAGTGGAGGTACAATTAGTGAATGTCCGTAGAATGTAGCTACCTTTTCCAGCGCATTTCTTATATAGCCATTTGAAGCAACACCACCGGAAAGGACTATAAATTCCGTTTTACTGATTGTTTTTATCTGAAAAGCCGAAAAAATCATCTCCAAAAAGAAATTTCAAAAAATTAATTATTCTCGTGATCAGCTGCAAAATACTCAATTTATTTTATGCAGTGACCTTCAAACAAACCATAATAAATAGAAAGTGGTGAACGCATGTAATTTTCACATAATTATGCCTTAAAAAATGGAAACAAACTTCATCTGATTCATACAAAAATTCCATACAATGATGGAGTTTTTTGGCCAAATAAGCTGCTACAGTGAACTGAAAATAACAATCGTAGCTATCCATGTGAAATAAACTAAATATGACGATTCAAAGCCTCTCATTTAAAACTATAAATCTACAAAAATCTTTAATGAATATGGGATATATAGCAGACAAATTATTGAGGAAAAAAATGTTCACGCCAACATGTCCACATGTAATGAAATATTTAAATATGCCTGTAATACAAATCTTTATTGTCCTTATTCTGCTAATATGTATCATTAATCGCTAAAAAATGGAATACAAACTAAAGGGCACCTGGACACCGGCACAAAAATCCTTGATATCTATATCCAATTTCATTTTACTGAGAAGTTGTAGATAAGAATTTGTGATGGATGAAAAATTAAAATTAGCATCTTTCGAACGTGGCATATTGATAAGATATTTGGAATAACCATCATGCGATGAACTATATACACTTTTATAATTTGTTAAATAAAAATTGGAACAATAAAATAAAGATCCTGAATTACACTATTTATTCACTTGATAAGATGCTTTAATCATCTGATTAATTTTTAAACAAAACAAGAAAAAGTACTTTGCAGCCAACTGTTCAATAATTGCACCACCAGAAAAATTCTTCAAATAATAATCATTTATAGGAAGCTGGCGAGCTATTTTATCGAAACATTCTCCTGGACTGCTTGAATTAGCTTCAATTAAAATTTTGAATTGATTTGCTCCAATTACCAACGCTATTAAAGAATGACCACCCGAAATTAAAACGGCGACAAACGGATACTTGATAGCAGCATGAAACAATGATGCTACCGTCGCATGTGCTTGCATATGATGCACTTTGATGAGTGGAATATGACCTTTTCTAAGAAATTAATTAATTAAATTAAGAAATCTTGCAAAAAAAAAAAAAATTATACATGGCAACAGAAGCAAAAGTGTGATACTGGTAAGAATTCAACTTCATTCTAGGAATCAGAAGTACTATGCCTCATCCGTTAATAGCTAAATGAAACATTTTAAAAATTGATTAAAATTGAAAATTGATGAAAATACCTAGAAAGACGTACTGCTTTTTCAGCACCAACTGCGAGAGCAATTGCAAGCCCAGGACGAGTAGTCACCGCAACCCCATCAAGATCGCACAACCTTTTACCACAATCCACCAAACATTCATCAACAAATTTATCAATCAATTTTCGATGCTAAAAATAAAATTTTGAAAATACTTCTGGTCCTAATTTTAATCTTAAATTGATTTTAAATTTTATCATATAAATCTAGATTCAGGTATAACAACTTTAATTATCGCCAATGTAAACTCGAAAAATCTTTGCAACTTAAACTATTCAAACTGGTTTATAATATTGTTCCCGGTGAAAAAAAACTAATTTTATCAATAAAATATTACCTGCGCAGCCGAAACATATGGACATATCCCACCAATTCGAGCTTGTGCTTCGCGATTCGCATAATTTCTTGTACTTAATACATTTCCATCAGATGATAAAACAGATACAGCAGTATCATCGCAACTGATGATAAGCATTACATAATTTAATAGCATCTCAAAATATTAATTTTGTTTCAAAAAGCATTGAAATTATTATTACGACCCCTTCTAACATATAAAGTTATTACCAAATCCAAGCAGCAATCTCAAACAGATTCTCAGTCCGTTTCGGTAATACTATCCTATATAAGGCCCCTAATTTAATACCAACCTTGTTTCAATTCCCAAAACCGTCAACAATTTCGAAACATTTGATAAAAATTTGCGTTGGTTAATAATTTTTGCCAATCTTTGGGCCAAATTATCCACAAATCTTTCCCCAACCAACATTACAGAATATGCTGAAATCAAGTTTCAAAATCAAATTTTCCTTTCATTCGTCATTCTCAATTCGATAGTTTTATACAATAATAAAGCAAGTAAGAAATGACCTTTATAACCTCTCAAAGATCAAGATTAACCGTTATTTTATGATGAATGAATAAAAAAACATCAAATTTAAAAATAAAAATAGAAACTAAAAAGACAAATCGAATCGAAAAATTAATTTAAAAAAATAAACGTGGGATAAACGAGAAAAAAGGGGAAAAGCAGGTACCAGACAATTGCGTACATCCCGCGTCCACACCTAAGTGAAGCCTAAAGAACCACCACGCCAACCACGTCACTGCCTCATGTCGAAAACGACCAAAAAACCAGGTGGAGCACGACTTAGATAAAAATCACAATTTAAACTACTCTCGTAATTGACCGTAATAGTTTGGCTGCCTGCCAAAGTATGCTGTTTATATCAAATTGCTATCGACTAGAAATAATGGCCGATTAGATCGTTAGGTTTATGTTTCACATTTTACTAGATATTGGCTGATTGAGCAAAAAAGAGGTATGAGTGCTCGTGTTTATATAGGACGGTTGTCGTATCGCGCTTCTGAGAGGGATATCGAGCATTTTTTCCGTGGATACGGGCGGATTCGCGATATCGTCCTTAAAAATGGTTTTGGTTTTGTGGTCAGTTTTTTGAATCTTTTTTTGGTGTAATTTTCGATTTTTCTTCCTCTTTAATATAGAAAAGTGTAAATGCTTCTCGAATAAAGAAAAACTTCCTCTTGTCGATAATTTTATAGCAATAATTTAAGGAAGAAATCTGATTTCTACTTTATAACGTCAAGAGTAAGGTAGTTAGAGGTAAGATAGCCAGGCGGAATAGTGACTCTGAGTTGAATCATGGGCTCGGATGGCTCCGATCTTGTCTTCAGTAGGAGCTTAATTTTTTGCTGAAAAATATGGGTGCCGCCGACGCACCTGCCCTATCGCTAAATGCAAAAATGCCCAACCATATTGTCGGTCGTCGGAGCCTGCCACAATCAGAAGTAGTGACCACTTGCTTATTTGCATGCAGGTTTTAATGACCATTTCAAAGAAATATTTCAATGAAGGTAAGAAAAAAAAGCGAAATTCGTTATTGAAATTTTTTTCAGTTAATTAGTAAAGTTCGCTTAGTGAAGATTCAGTTATGCTTTCATGCTTTTTTCCTACTTTACTGTTCACTATATGTTCCGCGATTTTTGATTTTTCGATTATATTTGGTAGTAGAAATTTATTCATAAGTCTTTTATAAATATTGTTAAGAGTACAGGTTTGTTCATACTTCTTAAAAGTACGTCTCTATTCTCAGCACAACTTGAATTTTACTTTTAATGCCAAAGTTCACTGCTGTCAAAGGTATCATACCTTATAACATATGATTAGACGGAGAAGCGCTTAGTTGGTGTATATGTGCAGATTTATAATTGTTTGGGAATCCCTCTTTTTTTTTCAATTTTTTATTTTGTGTTAGATATTATACACTTATTTAAATTATTTAAGTCATAGTTTTCAAAGTGGTAGGTGGGAATGAAAAAATGACTAAATGAAATAGGCCAGAGTTGTCAATTTTTTTCCGGGTATCCCCTTTTCTCGGAAATAATAAATTTTTTTCCGGGTATCCCCTTTTCTCGGCTTTATTTTTAAATAAGTAATTTTTAGATGTTTATTCAGTCATTTTCTAATTGATCTGCATATCCCTCTTGTTAGAAGGTTCCCAATTTTCATTTGAGTTCTGGCTGGATAAATTAGAGAGATTTCTTGCATGTATTGATTGTCACCGAGAATCCAAACTTGGGTTCGAATCTGGCCGATGCACCAGACCTCATCGAGTAGCAATATCGTTTAACGGAGAAAATCAGAGTAGAATGGCTCAGCGGATTATTGCTTAATTCGAAGTGCAAATGCTATTGATTCGTTAAATTCACTGTCTTGGCGATTTTATACTTACTCGTTCCTTCTGAATGTTATGGTTGATATTCGGTTTTGTCAGTAGTTTATTCATATGTGGGTTCATTTCTCATTTTTTCATTCTCATTTTCATTCTTGATACCCAGTATATTAACAGCTTTTGGCAAATCTATGGTGTCTCCATTGGTTCATATTATCTTGTAACTGATTTGCCGAAGGAAGTATTAAATAATTTTTGATTTTCCCCAGTGATTAAATTTATTCAGAAAAATAAAGATTTTTGAATTAGTCTTATAAGATAACATGACATCTAGTCGCATTGAAAGTTTTATTTTAGAAAGATTTACAGTAATGCAATGCAAAAAAAAGGATGCGAAGATGGTGCGCTATATGTTTCTGTTTTTTATAGCTCTCATAAATCTCATGCTAGACTGTGCTCATATTTTTACTTCTTTATCTTTTATTTCACTTTATTTTGATTTATTAAAAATTATGTCAACAAATAATCGAGTAATAATTTTTTTGAATTGCAGGAATTTGATGATCCTCGTGATGCAGACGATGCAGTTTATGAACTCAATGGAAAAGATCTATGTGGCGAGCGAATAATTTTGGAGTTTTCGCGACGTGGACCGAGAGGACGCATGGATAGATTTGGCAGTGGTGGGTATGATCGGTATCCTCCACCGAGACGAGAATCAAGGCCTGTGTGAGGCTATTGATAGAACATTATATGTAGAATAGATTTTTGCTGCCAATTTTTGGAATTTATTGGAAAAAAAAGTATTTCAATATGATAACGCATACATATAAAAATATCTTTTATTTAAGTGGTGTTGATGGACGGATTTTATCAATTGTTTTTTATAGATATGGACCTCCACAGCAGACTCGCTACCGTTTGATTGTAGAAAACTTATCATCACGTTGTTCGTGGCAGGTGAGAAAGTTGGACGTTTTACGAGCGCGCCGTTTTAGGTATCGGTTTCCCGGAATGAAATGGTGGTAAATGAGGCGATGAGCTACACCCGTACTTCCGAACGGATGCAGTGCATATTTCCACCTTCAAAACAATTTTAGTGAAAATGCGAGATATGAGTCGTATTTTTTGGCGTTCTCGTGATAACGTGTTGGTGAAGCTAAATTGGCCGTTCGATCGGTCGTTATAGGCGTTTTCTGGTCGGGGCTCGTTTCCGCGAAAAATTCGTTCGTGAGGGCCTCATCAATTATTTATGGTCAGTTCCCCCATTTATCAAGTGGCATGTACGGCAAATTCACAGTCATGTCCTCCCTTTTCTGATAGCTATTTGTTTTTTGAGATTATAAAATTTTCCAAAGATTTGTTCAATCTGCTGATTTCCTCAAATTTTATTGTCTCATTTTGTTGCACTAATAGTTTTTTTGGAAGTGCTTTGAAATTTTTGCTTTATCTCATGCTTTAAAACTTCAATCAAAGTGGAATTTTTTTCGGGACACTTTTAAGCCATTTAATTTGGTATAAAAAGAAGGGTTCAAGGAGGAAAGAACTTAGGCAAATTCATTAGCTTTGACTATGTATAACATAAATTTTGTTTGTATATTTTTTTTCACAGTATGGTAATGGTTACTATTTAGGATTTAAAGGATATCATGCGAACAGCGGGTGAAGTGACATTTGCTGACGCGCATAAGCAACGTGCTAATGAAGGGTATTTCTTTTAAATGAATCTTGTATTTTAGAGATTTGTTGACCTGAAGCAAATTTGATTTGATTTTTCATTTTTTTCTTATTTAGTGTTGTTTGTTTTCTAACAAGGGAGGATCTTGAACGTGCGCTCGATAAACTTCAGGGGAAGGAGGTTAATGGAAGAAAGCTCAAGTTAATTGACGATTCGGAAAAACGTGACAGTCGAAGGTTTTCGTTTTGGCTTATTATAATTTTAATAATTTTATAATTCTTAAACCGAGCTGTTTTTGTATTTTTTCAGCCGTTCACGTTCCAATCGTCGATCGAGATCAAGAACTCGTTCTCGAAGCTCCCGTAGTCGTTCATCTCGTTCACGCAGTAAATCAAAGTCACGAAGTGCAACTCCAAAAAAGCAACGTAGTCGGTCGAAAGAGCGCAGCGCTTCAAAAGGAAGTCATTCAAAGTCCCAATCTCGCACTCCTTCAAGAACTTCACGATCTCCATCTCCACCCAAAAACGGAAATATTGAAGGCGATGAACCAGTGGGTGGAGAAAATGAACGAACCAGTCGTAGCCGAAGTCCAACTCCTGACTGATTTTTAAGTTCATCATGATATTTATCATTTTGTTACGCTTTATACATTTTCATAATAAATTTGCTTGTTTACTGTTTTTTCTTAGCTGTCTTTTCTTTTTAATATCTTTAAAATTAATTCAGCAGTTAGGAAATTTGCACAGTCTAACAGTGAATTAAAAGGCCTGATGGTTACCGCTTTTGCCATATTGTTTGCATCGTTTTGATATTCTAAGGCGATCATAGATGGGTTCTACGATTGGCAAATGTAGCATCGAGCTTAAGTGCCGAAGAGCATAGACATTTTGTTGCGGATAACCAAAAGATGATTCTAGCATTAAAGCATTAAACATGCTTTTTATGCCATGGAACTGCTCGAATATTCTTCTAATCAGATATTTTGGAATTTTCATTAGGAGAGTTCCGTGCCAGATAGCGCTTCTTAATACAGCGCATGAAATGCAGGGGCTGTATTATGGTCTGAGCGATGAGAAGCATCGGCAATGTGAAGGAAATAACGACTCTCAAAAGCCTTCGACCATCTTAATCTCGAAGGCCACACTCAGCCACCCGGGAATGCACTAGTTGGGTATGCCAGAGTGGTCCGAAATGGTCACCAGAACACAATGTTAATATGTTCAGTACAAACAAATAAATATACTTGAATGAGTTCAACAACAGCAGCACTTCCACTACGGCACATATCGTAATTATCGTAACAACAATTTTAAATATATAGATAGCTTAAATAGGCGATAATTGGAAATTTTTTCATCTTTTTCATAAAACAACTATAATTTGGGAAACGATCAGTGATCCGAGACAACAGTGCGATTTTTGGACCCTCAAAGACGGTTCTCTGAGATCTTCTTTATCCACGATACTGCTTTTATCATCCAGAATATAGCTGAAACGCTCCTTGAGCTGTATGATTGCATTTGCAGGCTGCAAACTAGAAATATCCTCTATTATTCAAAAGTAATAAAGTGCGCTACAAGGAGGCGCTCATTCTTTACAACTTCAAAGAATGTACTCACTTATGTGAAAAAAGAATACAAGATGAGCGGAGTAAAACAATCCTGCTGCCAAACTTCACGAAAGATGGATATGGCAATATGATAACTACTGAAGAATTAGTCCATTGAATGCCTTTGGTGAAATTCTTATTTCTCCTCTGTTGAGCAGACTTATGATGGCTTAAGACAATAGAATGTACTTCATAAGGCTAGATTTAGAGCAGTGTGTTGAGCAAAAGGCATCAAATAGAACGGCGCTTCAAATAACGATGACCACTTCTTTGCCGTTACCTTCGGCTGGAGTGAAGCATGGCGCTCTGGAGAGTACGCAATGAGACGGCTTATATAGCTCATAGAAGCCTTCGGCGCGAGTTCGACTACGTGATGAATTAGATGTGGGGATGGCTTGTCGGCACGCAAGAGTTGTACAACGTAGTCCACAGCATAATATAACAGAACTAGAATGCGTTGAAAAATTGAGCAGTCTTTTTGCTGACAACCACAATGAACTATAACAGATGCTACACCATTTATCAATACAAAAACGACAACCGGGCGTAAATAAGTTGAAAGTATTTTATCAGAAGCTGATTTAATTCACTGCTTTAAATTATCGATTGAAGGAGTACCATTTTAAATATCTTGAATCTACTATTATAACTAACGATCAAGCGAAAGACGAAGCTCCAGCCAGAAATGCTTTCATCCTTCTTACAAAACCTTTGTGGGATTGCCGCAAAATCAGCATGAAAACACGACTACATCTATTTAGCTACAATAACTCAAGACAGTGGAAGGACACATTTAACCATTTTTTACTACCGTCTACAGCACGCGTCCACCGAATGGATGGAATCTCATATGACTGCATCCACCTTTGCTCGAATGCCATTTGCATTAACAACTTCATTATAGCGTATTGTCTATAGCATTAAAGCTATGTTCTTTACCGCTTGTCTGATGAAATATATAACTACTTGCTAAGCGCTCTGATGAATGGCGTTGGATGTCTCTTCAAAATCTGGATAGGCACGATCGGAGGAGATTTTGAAGATTTTGCATAAGCGATTCAACGGTATATAAACTTAGACGATGGAAAGAGAAATGGCTCGTTCGTTTACCTTGGCATCGGATCGAAAGGCATACTTATACCCAGTATAACCATTAACGGAGTAAGCTATTAGAAATGAAGATTAGATGACATTCTAGTGTTTTATTTATATTATTGTTGATAACATTTTCGGGTAGAAAAGAAAATTCACCGCTATCAAAAATTTTCTGAATTTTATATTTGGGATAACTCTATATCGACTTTAAACCTTCAGAGGCATTTTTCTCTAAAACCTGAAATCTGCCAAAATTTTCACAAAGTAATTATTATTTAATTATTTATTGCAAGTTAACCACGCTTTCTTTCAAGAAGAAATTTGAGCTATAAAATATGTAATATTAAAAAAGTTTATGGAGCATTTGCAGTTTTAACTTCAATAGAGATTCGTCTCGGTTTTTGCTCCTAAGATTTTACTTGTCTGTGAATTTTATTGCCTCAGTTGCAAATATCGTTTTGGAAATAAAGGAGGTGCGAAGTGAAGCTACCAGCTCAAAAGCAATTATTAATATAATTAATTAAAATAAATTAATATTAATATAAATATTCCAAGCCAAAATTTTTAAACGCTTAAAAACATGAGAATATTTTGCCAGTGAAATAAATATTTGAAATGCCCTAAAAAATCACGGCTTATAATGATCGAAATAGAAATTTTTTAAATGAACATTAACGATTTAAGAATATTTGAGGACAAACGATGGACATAAATGAAGAAAGTACCTATCTTCTTTTCGGTATTATGATTCGTCTACAACTTTTATTCTCCATTAATATTTCACCTTATTAAATTTTGCTGCAAATGTGAGCTCGAAGATTTCGTTCGCCGAATCTTTCACTTTTATTTACTCATTCTTATTATTACCTCGACTTCAATTCTGGTCGTGTTTAATAGACAATTAATCAATTCTGGTTCGGCTGGATTGATTCACTGATTGCATGGATGAGGCCTTTCGCCATATAATCATTTTTGGGTAGATGAATAGCTGGCAACTGGTTCTCGACACAATCCAGATTTGAATTTTAATGGCAGATTTATTTCCACCAGAGGATTAGGATCAAGTTTAAAATGCTTCATTTAGTCGAAGCAATAAACCACTCGACATCCGTTTTTTCCTAACATTCCTAAATTCTGTTTGCCAATGAAATAAACTCTTCCATCTTTTTAAAAAACAGTAAGTTCGCACCATCGGTATATGAAATCTTATTGAACAAAATGATTCTACAGTATTTTTCCAGCGCTGAAAGTAAAATAAAACAGCGAAAGTGAAAGCCAAAAAGCGATTTTATAATTATGCCATATTGAAATGTTCGGAATTTCTTTTTGTTTGCTTGCGATCGGAGATGTTCGATTCAATCAACATGAAATATTTTCTTGTAAATATTTCTTAAAGTTTTCATGCATAAATTTCAAGACGATCAAAATTTGAAATATTTTAAAATTTGGGAGAAATTTCCTTCATTAGACTGAAAAGATGTCGATTGTTCTGGCAAAATATACGGTTGGTAAAATATGAATCACACTCGAAGCATACAAACTTTCTCTTACCGTAACAGAACAAAAACAATGGGACAAGAGAAGAGAAGGAAAATGAGTGGAGCGATGAAGCAATGGTCACTGCATAAGCTAATTGTCTCTCAAACTAGGCAAATAGCGACAATTTCATTAAAACTGACAAAACAACATTAGTCGAAAGGCTTATGCTGTACATTTCCCACAGATCCAAGTTAGTTTTTTTGCGCTGGTTACGACTGCATTTACTTCTTTATGTGTCGAAGCTAGATCGGTTATTCACAAACTAACTCGAATGATAAGCCATTCTAAGAATCTCCTTGAGAACGATAAGAAATTTCTAAGTGGCAAATATTTATTGCGAGATAGTTGTCAATTTAAATCGATTTATTAAACTTCTGGAGGTCTATTATTACATTTTTCGATAATAAATCATACACAGAATTAAAATGTGGCAACTGATTACAACATTTAATAACATAGTTCGTAAATCTTTGAGAAAATTTAATTTTTTATTTCTTGAGTTCTTTTATTTCTTCTGTTTTCCTCTATTTTATATTATTTCTGAAACTTTACAATTTATTACAAACAATCAATCTGTTTCTTTTAAAATTTTAAAGCACAGAATAAATTTAAAAAACTTCTTTTCACCCACTGTGCGTGACCATCTTAAACCTCAGGTCGTCTACCAGAAACCTAAGACATTGAGGGTTCTGCGCAGTATTTTAGCTGTCCCTATTAGTGCGCTTCTGGATAGAGATCTCTGATGTTCTTTATGGAATCTGCTGAAACCACTTTTATAAATTATGAATCACATTTCCTCCAGTTATCACTGGGACTATTTTGGCCTTCAATTCCCCCATCTTCTCTATTTCTTCGTTCAGCTTCTGCTATTTCTCAGGTTTGTTATATTCCTTCCTCCTAATGTTCTTGTCATTTGGTATATCTATATCTATTACCAGTCCTGGTTTCTGGTTTTTTTCTATTACCATGATCTTTCGTTGATTGGCCAGTACTTGTTTGTCTGTATGGAGGCTAATCCTACAAGATTGTCGCCTTATTATGCTCCACGACTTTCTGAGGAATTCTCACTTATTCTTGAGAGGGTTTAAGCCATACACTAAGCAAATATTCATGTAGATAATGCCAGCCATTTGGATATGTCATTCAGTATATGTTGTTTGTGCTTTCATTTTACATCTTAACATTATATGTTGGACTGATTCTGGAGCAATCTAGTCCACATCTTGAATTCTAGTAGATCCTTATTTCGATGGATCTGGTGCTTGGTACCTGCTCTTGTGCTGCTATGGTGAATGGATCAGTGCTGCGTTTTTGTTCAGATTTTTCGAGTCATTGGCAAAATTTCTCATTATCTATTACTT